TTATACTATGAGATCTTTATTCTTTAATAGATATTGTAAGTTTCAATATACTCTTTGATATCTGTCTGAAGCTTGTCTTAAATATATTTATATTTTAAAAGCTTCTCAGTCTTCTCTAATCTGAAGTGCTCTGCATGGGAATTATTATAATGAATTCTTAATAACTTCTAGCACACTGCTCTGCTATGAGAGATGAAGACTGAACTATTCAGTAGTAGAAATTCACATTCTTCTAGTTATCAGTGACTTGATTTCTTAGTGACATCATCTCACTCAGAGTCTGTCTCTTTCAAGTTTAAATCAGATTCTTTCTTCTTCAACTTCTGAATTCAAGCTGCAGTAGAGATATTCCTCTTCTATAATTTATTAATAAATTTTAAAAGTAGTCAGATTGAAAGATTGTAGATTATTTTATTCTTTATCAATTCAATAATTGTAAGATATGATATAAGAAGCTCATGATCTTCAGTGTCAGTTCTCTGCAAGAATCTGAGTTTTCTTTTATCTTCTATACTGAGTCATGCAGCTGTCTCTCTGATGCTGTTTTCAAGCTTCAGAGAATCTCAATTCTCTGCAGTCAGCTTCTTCTGTAGTGATAATAGAGGTTCTTTTATAGAATTCTTCTCTATATCAACAATATTATAATCAGACTGTCTAGACAGTGTGTCAGTGAGGTTAAGCTGACCTGAACAGTATTAAATATAGAAATCATACTTTGAAAGCAGCTCTGCTCACCTGGCTTGACATTCTGTTAAGCTCTTTGTTATTAAGAAGTAATGCAGATTTGTATAATCAGTGAGAACTTACACTGAGTACTTACTACTCTGAAGATAATGTTATCAGATTTTAAAGAATTCAATAATTACTAATATCTTCTGATCATGAATATTATATCTTCTCTGTGTGAGTGATAACTTCTTGAAGAAGAAGATCACTGATCTTCATTCACAGCATTTTATAGACTCTGTGAAAAAGTCTTCTCTCATAAATAATTTATTATCTGTTTTCTTAGAGATGATTATTCTCTAATTCTTTCAATGTTGAAAGATCTCTGATATCAACTGTGAAAAGATTTCACAGATTTCATTTCTGAATGCATTAGTCTCACACTGACTGAGTAAGTCAGAGTTAAAGTGATTCAGTATTGTAATATCTGTGAAAGCTTGTTTCAATTCTGCAAACACCTGTGTGATATCTTGAGTAAGAATAAACAGTCTTATTTTTCTGTCTTTCACACTTCTCTTTAACAGATCTGTAAGAGGGGCAGTAATCTGTGAATATATATAGATGAATCATCTATAGAAATTTATAAATTCTAGAAACATCTGTATCTCACAGTATGTCTGCAATACTGGCCAGTTCTCAATGATAAAGACTCAGCTTCTATTCATTGAAATGCTGTTCATCTCAATAATATAATCTAAGAAATCAATCTTCTGTATATAGAATAAGCATTTTTCAGTATTTATATAGAGTTAATACTGTCTCAAGCAACTCAACACTTCTTAAACATGAATATCATGTTCTTTCTCTGATTTTAAGAAGATTAAAATGTTATTCAGATATACTATGCAGAAGATGTTGACAAGGCTCTGCAGTGCCTTATTTATATAGATCTAGAAGATGACTGAAGTATTATAAAGATTAAAAGATAAAACAAGATATTCAAAATTGTTATACTTAATATAAAAAGCTGTTTTTTAAACATTGTCTTTGTTAACTCTGATTCTATGATAGATATCTTATATATTAATCTTTGAGAACATCTTTGCTTCAGATAATTGATTAATCATCTTATTAATTAATAGTAATAAATAGTAATTCTTAACTGTCATCTTATTAAGGCCTCTGTAGTTTATACATAGACATAGTCTATTATTCTTCTTAAGTATAAAGAGTATAGATGCTTCTGTCAGACTCTTTGATAAATGTATTCAGTTCTTTGATTGCACTTCTTCAAGATATTTGTGCAGAACATTCAATTTCTTTACAGATAAGTTGTAAAGAGACTTATACAGCACTGTTGCACTGTCTTCAAGATGAATCTTATATTGTATCTTGATATCAGAAAACTTCACTGCTTCTCTTTCTGAAAAGACATTCTTAAAATCTGTAAAGAGATATTGTGTACATCTGTCTTTAATAACAGATACTGCTGTTAATCTTGTAGTGAGAGTGATAGCTTTTTCATCTGTTCTTAAGTTTCAATTATCTGCTATATAGTATATTAACTCAATCTTTTTCTCAAGATTCTTCTGATGAAACTCTTCAGATTTCTCTATCACTGTCTCTTTATCAGTGAGATGATATTATCACATCTGAGTGACTCAGTCAATGAGAGAATTGTTTTCTCTCAATTACAGAAGATCTAAAATGATATTCTTATCTATAATATTAACTATGTGAAGAAGTAGACTACTCTTCTTAAAGATTTCTTCTAAGTCTGTAATTACACACTTCACTTGAATTATGTTAAAATGATAATATTTCATTTCATCAGTAAATTTTACATGATCTGACAGATCTATCTTCTTTCAATTCTTCATTAAAGAAAAGAAATAGAATATGAAGTTAATATTTACTTCAGAGTTAAGTAGGCATCTCACTGATATCTCTTCATTCAGAGTATGTATTATGATTATAACATGAACTCAGAGATATGAGAATTATTAATTCTTTTCTTTCTCTTCTTTATCTTCCACGGATACATTTGTCAGAAGAGAAGTCAACTTTGAGAAGATATCTTCTCAGTTTCTTCTCTTCTTCAACTTCTTATAATCACTGATATAGTAATCACTAGCTCTGCAGTTGAAACAGAGATCTTTATCAAATCTTTTTTAATATTTCTTTACAGTGAGTGAAGAATCAGAATACTTGAAATTCTTCTTTACTTTCTCTACACTGAAGTCATCACAGTACTGTTTAGATTCTGTTATTAATTACTTAGAAGAGATCTTATTAATCTTTTTCTCAGAGAATTAATTATTTAAATAGATTTAGAAAGTCAGATTAATAAGCTCAGTATAATTAATTAATGAACTCTGATATTATAATATTATTATTTATATCTTATAAGTTAACTTTGTGAGATAAAGCTGTGTATTTAATTGATTCAAATCATTAGTCAATTTCTCTTAATATTCTTTAAATCTTATATTGAAATCAGAAGAATTCTTATTATTTTATTAATATAATAAGTTAAATCACTGTACTGCTGTGAAGCTGCAGTTACAGTGATCTTTGATTTAATTCAGTAGAAAGTTCTTGAATTCTTCTCAAGTTATAATAGTATTGATATGCTTAAGCTCTCTCTTCTTAATAACTCAAGTAATTGTAGAGATGTCTTCAAGAAGATTAACAGTATATATTACTCATATCTCATGAGTATTATACTGGCTCAGATTAAGATGAAATTTTCATTCAAGAGTATAGATAAAGCTGTGAAATTCAGATAAGATATTTTTCTTATATCTTAGTAAATCTCTGATCTTAATCTCTCTATCTTTATAATAGATGTAGATGTGTAGAGACTGCAGTGATAACAGAGTAATTGAAGAGCTTATATTAAAATATACAGTGAGTTCAGAAATCTCAGATTTTTACTAAGATAGAGATGTATATACTCTAGAGAATAATATAGTATTTCTCTTAGAAAGTGAAGTTGAGTCAGTCTCAGTATAGATGTGTGAGATTATATCAGTCTATTAGAGCTTAACTGATTCAAACATATAATCAGATTGAGTGATTCAAATTGTAATATAATAGAACTGAAGTGATGACTAGTCAGTAATATCATATAAAGATAGTTGTTTAAAAAGCTGTATAAATAAGTTTAACTATCTTACTTAAATAATGAGCTTATAAACTACAGAGTTATTATGAGAATATCACAGATATAATACTTAGTATACTAAGAAGATTGTATAAGATATATAGTAACTCTTATATATATTTCAGTAGAAGAAAAATGAATCACTGACTTCTTTTATAAGAAGTCAGCATCTAGCTATTCTATATAGACAATGAATGAATATCTTCTCTTATTTCATGAGTGAGAATAGTCAGAGTGATATCTCAGCAGTGTCTCACTATCAAGGAAAATTAATCTGCTGACCTTGTATAGAAGTGAGGTTCTTATATTCATCAATCAGATCTTTCTATGATATATCTGAATGATGTTATAAAGTGATTGAAAACCAGTTCAGATGAAATGAAATCATCTGTATGAAAGCAATGAGCCGTGTGAAACCGCAACGGGGCCTTAGCGCGGCCGGGAGCGTGATAATTTCTTACACATTGTTATATATTTAAATATCTTCTCAATAAGTAATTGTTTCTAATGAGAAGATAATGAGACAATGAATGTTTTTCAAGTGTAAGAGGCCTACGCTGAATAGATCAGTATTAATATATAGGTCTTATATAATAAAAGTGAAAAATGTTAGAGAAGGAAAACAAAAAGAGAAAGTACGAGAATCAGTGATTGAAGCGGATATTTATACATGTATAAGATAAAGCTTCAGAAATAGTCTATATGATTAATCGGGCGCAGCCCGTCATATGAGTTATGAATAGTAGTCATTAGACTGACCGTGTGACCGTGTCTGAGACCAGTGTGAGAGAGGTTGAATGTGATTGATTGTTTTTGTTTTCTAACTAGTAGCTAGTGAAAGCTAAATATATGTGTGTGAGTCACATGAGTTAGGGCTTGTGTAGTAGCTTTAACACCTCTCCATGCTACACAGGCCAGTTAATTCATGCAGTTAAAAGTGCTCAAATCATTCAAATCTACAATAAAAATTAATTATAAAAAGTAGAGTTTAGTTTTCTCATAAGAACTAGCTTTATACATGAAAAACATAAAAAATATGCAAGAAAAAACACTCAAATCTGTTCTTTCTATATTTATATTACTCTCTCAGTCATCTGAACACTGCAGAGTCTCACTTGTCATATTTTTGTCATTTTATTGTTATTGTTATCATGGTTATCATATAGGCACACTCAGTGGCCTGGTTATCATGAGTTATCATGGTTATCATATAGGCACACTCAGTGGCCTGGTTATTGTGAGTTATCATAGTTATCATATAGGCACACTCGGTGGCCTGGTTATCGTGGGTTATCATGGTTATCATATAGGCACACTCGGTGGCCTGGTTATCGTGAGTTATCATGGTTATCATGGGGTATCATCTTTATCCTGGGTTATCATATGGGCATTCAACAGCCCGGGTATCATGGTTATCAGTATCATGGTTATCGGTATCATGATTATCGGTATCTCCATCGTTTTGGCGTCGATATTGGCGGTTATGGTTATGATTGATATCGTTGATACCACGGGGTTATGGTTTTGATTATGGTTATGGTCTTGTGAAATCTGACCTCCGGATCCACGGCATTTTTGATATTGATATTGTTATTGACATTGTTATTGAGCATTATTATCAGGATTTTTGATGTTCTTGTCATTCATTCAACTGAGTAATATGCTGTCTCAGAATGACAGCTTCATTGCAGTCTGTCATATCTTTGTATTCTGAAGGATTATCTTGAGCTTGATTATTCTTGTTATCTTCACACAGTTATTGATGTTGAAAAGAATTCAGCTATCTGATTCTCTGAGATCTCTTCACAGTTAATCAATCTTGTATTGACAGGCATTTGATATGAGGTATTTGAATGAAAAAAGCAGCTATTTGAAAAGCTTATTGTATGATTATTACATGATTATAATGCTTTGTAGAAGTGCAAGAGCTTCATAATCTGTAAGAGAGATTGAATGTGATTGATTGTTTTTATTTTCTAACTAGTAGCTAGTGAAAGCTAAATATATGTGTGTGAGTCACGTGAGTTAGGGCTTGTGTAGTAGCTTCAACAACCAGGATCAGATTTTTTGATAGTTCTATTACCAATTCGACTGATCTCATTACACGGTTTTAACATTAGATAGTGATCTCATACTGTCTCAGTGAGACTTACTGTCTACTCTTGTCACATTTTTCAAATGAGATCATGATTTCTACTTCTCAATTTAAATTATTTTTATTGCTTTAAATGACTTTAAATCTCATTTAAGTGTTATCAAAAAGTGTTACTTTTTAAAAAATTAAAAATAGTCTAAAAAAAACCTTAAAATGTCTAAAAATAGTAACTTTATGCTAAGAATGAGACTAAATGAGATTAAATGAGACTACTTTCTTATTTTTGTCAAGTCATGATTTCATTTTAAGATCTGATATATAGTCACTTTACATGTTTTTTTAATAGCTAGTCTCAGTGGGATTCATATCAAGAAATGTATGAAATCAGATTAAATGAGATCAAACATGAAATTCATAATCTCAGCAGTCAGTCTAGTAGTCATGAACTTTAGTCTATATAGTTGTGTGTAGTCAAGAGCTGCTAACTCTATTGATTACATGAGAGATAGAAATAGAGGTAAAGAATGTTAATGATTACTACACCTACTCTAGTCACATGTCATCTCAATCTATTCATTTAGTGTAACTTGTGTAGTTAGATTATAATATACAGTATAACAACATTATTCTTTAAGAGGTTATAAAGCTCTCATTAAGCTAATGAAAACTGCTGAAATAATATGTTAACTACATCTTCATGTATTATTACATGTGTCTAGATGTTTTTTTATAAGTAATTGAACTCATGATTAATCTAAGATCTGAAGAGACATCTGACTTAATAAAAGAATACATGTCTTTAAGATAGAGAAATAAGAAAACATCAGAGCAGTAAATACAAGATCACAGATTACTGTTAATATTAATAATAAATCAGAAGGCGGCTTCTGAGATATTTAAGCTGAATAAAATCATCACAGAGAAACAGTCTGATAAGTTCAATATATACAAAGATCTGATTGAAGATATCAGTGAGATGTCAGATAATGTGAAGAGCTTAAGTGATCAGAATGACAATAGCTCTGTAAGTGAGAAGACTTATATAAGACTAGAAATTACAAGACTTCAGTATGAAGTTGAGTGAATGAAGATAGATAGAAGTGAAAATAAAGAGCTTAGTGTAGATTTGATAAACTATCTTCAATAAAAGAGTAGAATATCTGTATTGATAAAGATTCTTAATGAATTCAGAGATTAAGTAAGATCTATAAAGAAGTCTGTTATACTCACTGACTCTGTAAATTATTCTATATAAAAAGAAGAGATTCTGCTCATAGTAAGATAATCTGAAATAGATGACATTCTTAATGATAAGCAGATTAATTCTGATAAGAATGTCAGTATGAATATACAACATTTTTAATCAGAACAGAATATCTGACTATATAACTATATATAGTCTGCAATCATCTCACAGATCAAATCTCACTTTATTATACTTAAGAAGTCTTAACTATCTGCTTATTCTCTATGATCTGTCATAGAGAATAATTTCACTGAGAGATCTGCTATCTGCAGAACTCATCTATTTCAAGAATTAATTGAGATAATATTAAAATTAAAGAATTCTGATTATGCATTTATTGAATATTTAATTACAATCAGAACTGATTATATCTGATTGAGATATAATGTTGAAGATTTCATGTTTTTCAACAGACTTCTTATAGAGGTTAGTAAAGATTGATTATCTTTTATAAAGAATTGAATAAATGTAATAGAGAAGAATGAGAACACTAGAACACTTGAAGATGATTTCATAAGATTGTGTCAAGATATTCTTCTACAATTGTCAGCTACTAATAAATCTCTCATCTCTGATGAAAAGACCTCTGCAAATAACACTCAAGACAAGAATAAGAAAGACAAGAACAAGAACACTGAATTCAAACCTGAACATAGAGATAATAATGTGAGAACATACTATTATTATCAAAAAGTTAATTATATTCAGGTCAACTGTTGAAAGAAATACTCTGAGAAACATTCTTCAAACTTCAATACAAATAGAAACAAGGATAAAGACAAGAATGTAGAGAATACAGATACTGCTTCTGTTTACAATATCATGAAACAAGTATTTTGCATCAAGAAAAAGATCTATATAAGTGATCAGATAGAAAAAGATACTTGAATTCTAGACTCTGAATCAGGCACTCATGTCACATCTCACAGAAATCTTGTCATGACAAAACCTCAGAAGATGAAAGTGATGTTGAAAATGATAGACAGAACAGTGATCTCTGCTACAGCTATAGAAGATACAAAGATTTCAGCAGAAGAAGTGAATATACTGTTAAATAATATCTGCTATGTTCTGAAGTTAGAAGTAAATCTCATGAGTATGAGTAAGCTTATATATCAGAGTTATACCTATAAGCAGTTGATATATAAGAATAATCATGCTATGTTGATTATATCTCCTGACTGTATGTTCTTATTTACAGCAAGATTAAATGAGAATGATATCTATAAGATGAAAAGACTGATTACATACAGAGACTTAATTCAAACTTACAATGATACAATAGTATTAAAAGCTAGAACATCTAAATTCTGCAGATATTGTAAAAATGATGACAGACTTATATCTAGAAATGAGAATTATTGATCAATAAGCTTTATCATTCTACAAAGTCTGTGTTCAGATAAAAATGACATGTTCAATCTTCACATCTATGATATGAGCTGTCAAGCTGGTAATGAGATTCTTCATCAATCTGGCAGAGAGTGGAAAAACACTTTTCAACAGAAATGACATTCTCACTAGAGAGAGTGTAAGTTATTGATTGAGTATAACAGATAATACAACCTGTTATATAATACCAGGTTGATGAATGATGGAAAAGCAAAAATATGCTCACATCTATAAGTTGACAATAAGAGAGCAATTGATCTAGCAAAAGAGAGAATCCTTAATATGAAGATTACATCACATT